CCAGTCCCCAGGAGTCCTGTCACGGGTGCTGGAGAAGGAGCTGGGCAGGAACATTGAAGATTCTCCAACTCACCTACTCTGTTTCAGGGCCCCGCCACCTCCATCAAACACAGTGGTTACTGTGGCTCTGGGTCTGTCACACCCCAGTGAAAGGACTGTGTGACTCGGGTGCTTTGGGTTTGGGGGTAGCACAGTGTAAACCCTATGTCTCCAAAAAGGCCCCTCCATCTCCAGAGACACATTGGGGAATTGTTTTCCCTGCAGCGCAGCTCTGGGGTCACTGAGGACACCGTCATGTGTCATTGTTCCAGGAGGCAGAGTGAGGGAGGGGAAGTCAGGTGACCCAGACACAACCAACCCTGCAGGGAGGGCTCAGGCCACCAGGGGGCACCCAGGGTCACGAGGAAACAAGAGGACCCATTTCAGGGCAGGTGCAGAAGGAGCCGTGGATGGGTTCCCTCCCAGAGACGGAGGATTCTCCGCTGGTTCACCGTCTTCCCTGGAAGCCCATCCATAATGGATCCAGGGAAGCTTCTTGTTTCAGAACTTGGGCCTTTTTCATGGAGTCAGAATTGTCTGTCTTTTTTTTCCTCATTTATCTTAGGACCAGACACTGAAGAAACATTTCTTCATGGGACTTTCATTTGAAATTTAGTCACTACCCACACTTTTAGTTGTCAGGTTTACAGATACTTAATGACACAAATGAAAGTTCTGTGGAACGAGGAGTCTGTCCTCCACCCTCAATGTATTTCCAGGCATTTCATCCTCAAAAGGGTCCCCAGTCCTTTTTCCTGCAGGGCCTTTCCTTAGAATAGCATGAGGAAAGTTGTATATTTGGAAATTGATGTGTGTGTGACACTGGAGTCATTCTGTTCCACAGAGGACATTTGGAAATGTCTGGAGCCAGGCTGGGCTGTCACATGTGGGGTGGGCTGCAGGCACCCAGTTACCTAGTTGGCAGAGTCCTTCAATGTGGCCGTGCATCCCACAGTGCACACGGCAGCTCCCACAAAAGGAAACTAGCCTCAGATGTCAATAATGTGGAAAAACTCTGAGAGAAAGCTTTGTATCTCATCAACTTCATAAAAATGTTGACATGCTGAAGGTAAATTTCTCTATGTGAATCATCATCAATGAATGAAAAGATGAACAAACACCAACCCTGAGTCTTCAGTTCACTCACAGGCAACTTACAGCCTAATCACCCCTGTGTGCTGGTTGTGGGCCAGAGGGTCCTGAGCACAGACCTGCAGGCAAGAGGACAGTGGAACAGAGAGCCTGCACTGGGGAGGGGCCGTGTCTCTTCTTCACCTGAGTCCGCAGTAGACAAGACAGGGCCAAGGCTGGACTTGGTTAATCTAATATTTAAAAAATCCTACCTAATTAACTAGTTTACATTTTCATTTTGCAATAATACTTAATCTGAATATGAAATGACATTTAACATATGAAACACATAACAAAAATTTGTCTTATAGCTAGATTAATTTTGATGGTATTTTTCAATTCATGTTAATATATCCAACATGCCACTTGTATAACAGCCACATAGTAACACAAACAGGTAGACATTCACCAGCATCCACACCCCCTCCCCCAAGGGCTCACAGCTCGTCTGCACCTCCACTCACCTCCTGCAGGCTAGACGTGGCCCCCTGCTGTCCCCTACACAGGGTTGCTGATAGGAAAGTCTGTGAAGTCATGATAACATGTGCATCCCAGTGACCTGCTCAGAAAATAACAGAAAATAAAAAGTAAATAAAGTAAAATAAAAAGTGTTATGGGAAGTAAAGTGTTTTCATGTAAAATACACTGCCCATTGTCTCAATAACAAAACTGGGTTTATTTGGGACCTAAAAAGAATTATGGTTTGGGGTCTGCCGTCATGGTGAGCCACATGCGAGTCCCCAGTGAAAACAGAGACATGACTCTTTTACAGAATGAAAGGGGAGGTGAGAGGGCTCCTGTGAACAGGAGTTCATGGATTTTCATTGGCTGAGTCCTTACCAGGAAAGAAGAGGAGGCCTTGCTTCTCCCTGTTGGGCTCAGACATGAATTTCCCAGCTTACAAGGTGGAAGCCTCAGTCCTCCTGCCTGAGAGCCACTGTGAAAAGGCTGCTTAGAGGGGCTTTGCGTAGGTGATCAGGAGTCAGGAGGTGGTCACTCGGTGTGATGCAGTCACGAGGGACTTCATTGCTGATGGAGGGGAGAAGCGTAGATGTGCTGACGTTGAGACAACATAGCACAGCTCTGTGAGGACCAGGGAACAAAAGGGCATCTTAGGAGGGGAGGCAGCTGACTGAGACATGTTGACTGTGATGCGTGGACTTCAACAAAGGGTCAGAGGCCGTGAGGACCCCGAGGCAGTGGGAGTCTCCCTGTGCCACAGCATCCGGCTCACGGCTATAAAACCCTAGAGGTCAGCGGAGGCCCCTGTGGTTTTGGTCAACACCCCAAGACAGCCCCTTGCCTTTATACAAAAAGGAGAAAGGGGTCTGGTCGTCAGGTTGCCCACAGAAGGACGG